CGATAATTTCGCATCAGCAATTACCGCCCTCTGTACAAACGTGTCTAGTGACTCCGCTATGTAAGAGACCCTTGAAATCCTTATGTAGCACGAAGAAACAATAAACATGCATGACTTCGCGATTCAGCAGCTGATGGCCTTCTTTGAGGAGCGCCCAGACTGCTCAATCCCCAGACAGTCCGAAAAATATAAGGCACAAATGAGAGAGCTGGTAATGGGACAGTGACTGGTACCAAGCCTTGCCATTATATTTACGTCTAAGATGGATGCACCAGTAATTGATTATCGGCCGATACTCTACTGTAGATATATGGGTGTTTGCTTTGTCATTTGCACCACACAAGAGGAAATGGGCAAATGCTTTGAGTTATTGAATGAACAGTAAGAGCACATTCAGTTTATCTGGGAGAAACCGAAAGAAGATTGGCTTCCATATCTGAGCGTTCAGATTAATCTATCCGACGTCACGAAGCGGTACGAAAACCTAAGTAGTAAAAACATACTGGTTTATTAGCTGTCCCCTCATCTTTCACACACCGAAAAGGCGCTTGTAAAAAACATATTTCAAACACCCACCAGCATGTGCACACGAAGAGAGTAGGAGGAATCCCGAAAACCAGTGCAACGAATAGCCATTTCGAATGTCTGCGGAACTGTAGCTACCCGGAATACGCATAGGGAGAAACCACGCCTCTAAACGATTATTCTAGCAATAATAAGGTCCCGTTTATCCTGCCTTTCACCTCAAAGGAAATAAGTGCAGCTATAAGACGTTGCATAAGAGGGGCTGGTCTAGAGAATTCGCACTTTAAGACGCCTGCTAGTTGACAACCGCCTACATAATCGTCCATGTTCAACCCCAAATTGCGTAGTGTGCTTCAACGGTAGAGATAGTGATTGCATGAGTTCAGATCCGGTTTATCTGACCTCTTGTAAAGCGTGCGAGGACGAATATATTGGCGAAAGGCTAGATCACTCTGCTGTTGTGTACAGGAACACTTAGTCGGCAAAATTAAAGTTAAACAAGGTGTTCCACTAGGCGCTACTTGGACACAGAGATATTACGAGAAAGATTTCGAAGTTGCCACCCTCCAAAGGAATCGAAAACTTCAGCGCGCAAGACTCTCGAAGCATTCTGGATAAATTCCAAGAATCCAAAAAAATGAACCGAGGGGAAGAACATATTGTTATCACGCGTGATCTCACCCAGTATTTAAGACATATTTCGATGTAACAGACGCACACTCCGCCCCCATGTGAATTCTCTGGCCTTGGTCACAAAGTGACATACTCAGTGAATCACAGAAAGCGGGAGTGTACGAACAATATGTTTTGTTTCAACGTGATTGCAACATAGTGTTTCCTCTGTTTGGTTATGGAGGTGTTTTGCTGAGTAGATTGCAGTCAACTTGACCTTTTTAGGCTCTGAAGAATACAGTAACAATCTCATGTTGCTTACCAAGAAAAGAATTGACAATTTCACTGTCAAAACATTAAAGGAGTTAAGAACTTTGCAGGCTCACAGAACACTTTTCTCTACCGCCTCAGGCATATACACACATATACACACATGTATAAACGTTAAATATATATGTACATAACGTCGACAGCAGCGACCTATTCGAAATAGAATTCGACAATGGAGAAAAGTAAGTAGCGTATTTCGCTAGTTGCATTCGCCGCAACGAAGCGACCGTCGACAGTATAAAGCAGATTGCTTCAGGAACAATAGTTTCCCTTGTAGAATACCATGCCGAAAGAGAGAACCTGAACGAATGCGCACTAGCGACTGGGGAATTTGAAAGAGTGCATGACTCTGCAGTCAATTCATTTATCGAGAGATAGGGGTATATCAGACGACTTGACGACCTCAATCACGATTTTGAAACTGACAAGTATGTACTGCACTATCAATGCGAGATAAGAAGAACGTCACGGAGAAATCGTCATTCGCAAGTAGTTTACATGCTCATTGATAAACGACAGACCATTAGGTGTGGGAGTATCAAAAAGACCCTTGATCACACAGAAAATCTCTATCTATTTAGACTATTTACAATTGCATCCTCCTCACAGCAGCTGCAGAATATTCCGCCCTCTTAAGTACGACGAAAACAATCATTGATTGCATTCTGTATTCTTTAACACAAATACAGGTTTCAATATTCAAGTTTGGAGCGTCCTAAACGTATATCTACGCTATAAACTGAGTAATGAGCAACGCGATCTTGGCAATGAACTCTGCCTCATGCTTATTTTACGCAATAAAAATCGACCTACTTCTCGACCATATTGTGACATACGGTGAAAGTGCACCTAATACGACGTTCAGTTCAGTGGTTGGACCGGAGCGAATTTGCTAACCATTGTCTTAAAAACTAACTTTAACCTCGGCAAGAATAGTCATTATTTTCCTAGATTACTGGGCTAACAGAACTTTATTAAAAAAAGAGTTATTTGGCTAACATTGCTATCATTTCGCTGTCTTCAGAACAGCGATGACCCTAGTCGATTGTGCATTGTCGTTTGCCCTCGCGATGTGAGTCTTTGCAGTCAAACTGAGCCAAATCCTCTAGAGTGGATCACTCACATCTAGGATGAAGAACTTCACTCGGTAGTACGGCAGTGCGCCTTGCCCGCTTCGGATTATAGCGACTCTGAAGAAAGCAAAAAAACCAAAACGTGAGCCGAATGGATGTGTTTATAACAACCTCGTGTTGTCCCAATGATCCAAGAAAATAATGAAATTACTAAGCATTCCCCTATGCCGAATTTGCATCAAAAGATGATCACGTCGAAATCGCGTAATACGACCTTGTAAAATGATTGCAGGAAATAAGTAGGTTCACTCTCCCAACGGTTTACCGCCTCATCGTGGCTGGGAGGTGTTCCTGGGTGTCGGACTGCCATGTTCAGCTGGGGGATTTGTCCCCCGGCAGATCTCCCAAATTGAGGACCCCGCGTTTCCATCAGGAAGCCTAGCTAAGAGTAAACCAATACCAGGATCCGTCACCGTCCTGGGATCGAAGTCGCATGGTGGTAAATATCCCTGTGGTCCACAAGGGCTGCGACTGTCAGTCGTGGTGATAACCTGGGGCAGACTTTGGCCAGACTGCCTCGGGATTCCAGTGAACCACAATGGCTTAACCAACAAATCTCCGAAAAATGGTGATTATGATGGGACCCGCACAACTAGTGAGGAAGGACCATTCAAGTATCAATTATCAAGTATGTACGTTCACAGTGTTTGGGAAATCGATCAGGCGGATGCTGTGGCGAACGCCCAATGTCCGTAGGTTACAAAAATACTGTTTCGGAATTTTAACGAACTGTGCCACACAATTTTGCCTTGGCAAATAAAACCTTCAACAACCACATTTCTCCTGAAAATGTCACACTGCGCGGTTCCAGAACGTCAGAATTATAGGCTATAAGAACTGTTCTTGTTAACAAAATTGTGTAGATTACAGTAATATCTGTCTCGTTTTATAAACTCACTTTCGAGAAGAGTTACAGTATTACAGGGTTACGCCGATTATTTTTCTATCAACCTACACAATCAACAACAGCTCTATAGTGTCATCATTTTAAATCTGACAAAGGAAAGAACTACTGAACAAGAAAAAAACCAACATCGAATATGAATTGTTGACAAAGAGTTACAGCGCGATGTAAAATGAACAAAGTAATATATACCGTACAGAACGATAATTGCATACACCTCAGGAACCCGAGCTGTCATCATCGACAGCTTCACTCATTCGTTCTTCCCGTGTCTTATTGCGATTCAGTTTCCAAATCTGAAGTGACTTCTTTTATCGGAGTGTAGAATAGAGTCATTTTATAGTATGGGAAATATGGATAACTCTCCCAACTTTTATATTTACTGCCTATTATATTTTACGTGGTAGCGTATGAAGTGAAATGAAACCACTATAATGCAGAGATATTTGCAAAACTTGGAGCACAGGTCAGATCGAAACGTGACTACCGTTTAGCACCAGAATGGGTAACCGCGGTGCGATCTGGCCTGAGGTCCAAGTTTTGCAAATACTTCAGCATCATACTGGATAACTCTGTCGGGATAATCGGAAAAAATTAGAGCTCCAAGTGAATTTCCGTATATTTTTTAAAATATCGCGCATAACATACAATTCTTGCGAAAGTTCAATGTTGCTCCCAACACAAAAGAATACGCCGCATTAGGATTCGCGGTGGTATGAGTAATATATGATTCACATGTGCTGTGGCCTGGTGATTCATTTTTTTTCGCATTGTTCGCGTGCCGCGCAAACATTTTCCGCCATACTTCTTGCCTTAACTTAACTTATCTTCTATAAAAGACTAAAGATCAGGAACCAGCTAAGAAAAGGTACTCTGCATACATCTCGATTTATAATAAAAAAAAAGAAAAAACTCAAATGGGGATAAGTTAATCGTTTCACTGACCTCTGTACAAACTTTACTGACTAGTGCACACAGAAAGCATCACAAGGCTTTTTACTAAAGGGCAGTGATTCAAGATGTCTCCTCTGCACAAACAGAAATTTATAAGTTCTGCAGGGACCCTACTCTGATTGCAAAGATGGAGTAACATAAAAAACCAATAATGGCAACATTTGGTGTCTCTATCCTAGAGTAGGTATCACAGCCTGCATCCATAAAGTTCACTACATACCGTACCTCATGAAAAAAACTATGTTACACGCTACATGTCAACATGACTATTCGATACTTCACTCAATGACGTTTGAATTCAATAAAAATCCACGAAAATATTTACACTTCAAATTCAACAGGAACAAAACTTTGAGAATAACCTTTCCAGGAGGGAACCTTCAACAGCAGTAGGTTTGTAACTTGCGGTAATTGATCTTAGGATCGAAAATGAGAATGAGAAGCAATACTTAAATAGACAGACATACCTTAACACACATAACAAACCAACTACCGCTACATTCTTTATAACAATTTCTACTTCTTTATCAAAACTCCTACTGCTAAAACATGATTCTTTTGCGATCTTCCCAAAGCTCCACACGCTGTCTATAATGTGCCACAAGCACAATTCTAACCGAAACAAAAATTACTAGTAGAAAGAAGGAACTAACTTGAATATATGACTCGGCAAGCACAATCATTTGAGGAAGAATCTCTTTTACATGAAGATCTTCAAGTTCAAACCATTTATGAGAACCCTGAACATATTCGATACGTCAATAATGTCCAACTTGTTTACTCAAGATTCAAAATGACCACGAGCTTGTTTTAATATGAAAATGCGAAGGCGTTCATTATTCCATAACACCCTTCCACATCTAATGGACAAAAACCATACCACATGTACAAGTTGAATGCGGTACGTTCCCGAATCAGGTTTTCCGTCATGTACAACGTTGGCGATTAGGTCGTACGTAGTGTACTTGTGTTCATAGCGAGCATCTTCAGACAAACAATCAAAGAGATCGACGTTGCTGCAAGAAATCATCATTAATATAACTGCAAGTGAAGTCGGTCAACATAAACGCACCTAATTGGAAAATTGACAATTGTAGGATTCTTTTCCACAAACCACTGATTCTTATGGAACCGTTTATAGGTGATGATGAGATATTCGGGTAGACGAAGAAGTTCGAACCTTTTTATGATATTTTCGTTGTATGTCTTGTATTCCTAAAAGCGAGCATTAAAGTGAGTACATGACCGAAAGAAAAAGAATACAAAAGAACCTTCTCAGTAGTTCCATTAAACTTTTGCAGAAGAACCGTTAACGGTACTTGCGGTATAATGTTTTGCATCTGTTCGTCTCGGTACAACGGTGCAGGAGGAAGATCCAAGGCGAGGTAAAGAAAAGGTAATTCTTTTGAGCTTTCTAAACATTGTCTGGTGTAATCAGTACAGTAATTATCAACTCGTTCAATGATGCTAAAAAAATAAAAGGACAAAGCTCCCGGCGTTGATCAATCCCTGAGGAATGCGCCATGCATTCGACTTCATTAAGAATCGCTGGAGGTGATTGGATGCATATCTGGCCTTTACAATGATTCATGTTGGTCTAGCGATGTATTGACCCACTGCTGATATCCTCCTAGACAAGTTCGGTACGAATCTGCCTAGTCCGGAGAGATGGAGGGCGTAGTAGCCTGGGGCACGGCGATCGATCCCATGTGTATTGCAGAGCATCTCCGACCACTGCGCTACATGCGTCCAAATGATGGTACTGGCAAAAAATTACCATTGTATTCCGGTAGCTGTAACAACTGCCGCCGCTGCTCTTCCGTTGCTTCAGCAGGAATTACTCTTCGGGAATATTGCCGCATACGACCCCGAAATATCCTAAAACCAACTAAGATTGAAAACACTTCGAGGCGTCGAATAGCGAGAAGACAGCAAACACGAAATACGAACCTATAAATGACTGACGATGAAGACTTCTGAGTCCCATTTAGAGCAATGTGTAACGTGTTCAGCAAGAAACTCATGAATTCAGCGGCATCCCCTAATTGAGGTCATTAATGAACAATGATAAAAATTTCTACTGCAATAAGATAAGGGATGAAAGAAAGGCTTGACTCGTTACTGATAGAGCGAACATACCTTGCTTTATAAATTGAAACTTTTTATCAGAACATAAAACTGTCGCCTGAAGCATTTCATGTGGAGAAACATGAGTTCGGAATGCCTTAGGATTCCATAACTTCCTGGAAAAAGAAAGTTGTGACACATTGAACGCGTAGTTATATGGGAACAACGTGCACACCTAATAAGTTCTCCAAATCTTTTGGGAAGAAGGGCTAACTTATCACCGGGCGGCCGCTTGATTGATTCATAATTCTCTTCACGTAAGAAAAAATCACGCAAAGGAGTGACGTGAGATAACGCCTGTAATCAATACTGCAGATATGTAAAATGGTGGAAAACAGTGCAAGGCTCAACCACGAACTCACGTGCAAAATGACATTGCAATAATCATTGGCCTTGATGTTATTTAGCCCAACAACACCAGGGAAATATGTTGAATCGTCGTAAGCTCTGGCCATTCGGTGTTGACGGTCCAGGCTGCCTATCAGCTCTTTTGTATAGGTGGGTTTCAGCACATACTGAAAACGTGTGACTTATAAGGGTGATAAAATTTCAGGAAGCCATGCAATTACCAGAAAAATATGCACACCGGATACACATTGTTGTCTCACAACTCTCGTAATTCTATATCCTATATAAACTTCTTAAAATTATAATAAAGAGATAGAGCTCTCGGCGTTAATCAATTCCTGAGGTATACGTCTTGAATTTGACTTCACCAAGCGTCGTTTGAAGGTGAATGAATGAATGCATGTCTGGCCTTTACAATGACTCGTGGTGGCCTAACGATTTACCGGGCCAGTGCTGCTATCCTCCTTTTGTATAGTCTCTATCTCTCGACCGCGAAGGTGTGCAAGGCTTGGTGAGCCTGAGTTGCGGAGATCGACTCCATGTGTATTGCAGGTCGCCTCCGACTACTGCGCTACACGCGCCACTTAAAATCATAATAGTTCAACAAAATCTTATGAAGCAAACGAGTTTTAGTTAAAACCCGAATGAATGTGGCAAGGTTGTTAACGGTTCTATACCATCTTGAGCTAAGTGCACGTTCTTAAAGTGTCATTCTTAGAGGAAAATAGCAGTAAAATTATAAGGCCTGATATTAAAATATCCATAAAGAGGTCAGTTCTTATAAACTCCAATTTTTTGACAAATAGATTACACGAAAAGCTGAAAACTTTACTGACTTCAAGAAGAGACTTTAAGTTATCGTAGTCTGGAAACAATTTTTCTAAACGGTTATTGTAATACGTTTTCACCACAAACTTGGCATCCGCAAGCATCGGTGATGATTCAAGGAAGAGGATAGCCTTGTGTTCTACGAAATCTCGACTGGTAATTTGCTTTGGTATTGGAAATATGGGCGTTGAATAAAAAACACAATCGACTGGTACTAGAAGATTATGATTTCATCGCTGTTGAATGAGAAAAGTTGCGTTTTTATGCTAAGGATTTACAGACCCTGGCAGTATTTGTTCCCACTTATAAAGTTCCCTACGAACCGAGATATCCTTGTTCAGATCCAAAATGCACAATTACTTACAGGTAGAATATTTGGATACTTGAATGACCCGTCTTCACTGGTTGTGCGGACCCTAGCGTAGTTCCCATTTTCTCGGAGTTTTGCTGGTTTAGCCACTGCTGTAATCGCATCCCGACACCCAGGAACACCTCCCAGTAAGGATGAAGTGGTAACCCTTTGGTAGATTACAGATAAAAAAATTTAAATACTTTCACATCCAATGTTTTTCATCAATAAGCAGACACGAGGTTGTTAATATAGAATTTATTAGAACACAATTGCTGACGTTTCGGCGGTTTCGCCTTCTTCAGAGCCTGGAAAGGTCAAATTGAGATGTGATCTACTCAGCCAAACACTTTCACAACCCTAGCACGTCAGCAATTGTGTTCTAATAAATTCTATATTAACAACCTCGTGTCTGCTTATTGATGAAAAACATTGAATTATCAATTAATGCCGAGGTTAACAGAAAGTCGGTCTTGGGAATTACTTTCACATCGTCATGAAAGAGTCGAATTGAGAAATGCACTTTATCTCAAATAGGATCATTGATACTCATCCTTTTTCACAGTATATGAGATGCAGTCAGATGCTGAAACCGTTAACAGCAATTTCGACCTGCACAAAATGATACCTTTATATCTTCCAGTGATGGATCGTCGACTTCATAGTTATCGGGTAAGCAGTAGAATTTAAGTGTATGAAGGTTGAGGAAAACACGATGATCAGTATCAAGAGAGTGTGTGTACGCATGAGTATTCGTTCCACGACCCTATAAAACAATATAGCTGCATCCACATACTAAAGGAAAAAACAAATAAAGGATAAAGCTCTCGGCCTTGATCAATCCCTAAGCGATGCACCATGCATTCGACCTCACCAAGCATTGTTAAAGCTGAATGAATGCATATCTCGGCTGTACAAAATGACCGCCCGCGCGGGGATCGACCCCATGTGCATTGCAGGGCGCCTCCGAGCACTGCGCCACACATCCCGAAGTTAGACAATAAATAAGCATAGCTAAGAAGTTTTTGAAAATATCGAAAAAATAACAAATGGAAAACAATGCCAAATTTTTGTGTCTTCACCATTTTGAATTTTGCTTACTGAAAATGACAAAACATATACCTGGAAGTATTTTCCACAAACCATACAGGCATATACATTGAGATGCGACAGAGATACAGAACACAGCTTCTCAAAGTCGAAATCCAAAACTTTTCTACAACAATGAGGACAAGAGCTTCAAATGTAAAGGAAATAAAAACGATGAGAACTTTTGGGAACACCTGGACGAAAAAGAAAACCAGAAAAAACAACTGTTATCGACGAAAGAAGATAATATTGTACCTGTTAATGGTATCAAGATAAGGACAAGCTCTAGAATCGTGAGCTTGCTCGGTATTCCTTAACGAAGAAGAAGGTTCATCGTCGCCAGCCTCTTCTCTTGCCTATTCAGCAAGTATTTGTGAAAAAAAAGTGCCTTAATGTAATAAAATAGACAAAGTACCATCTTTTCCATTAGTTGAAGCCGTTCCAGTTCTCTCGCAGTTGGTTCCCTAACAGATTCTACAACCTGAATAGAGAATTATCCACTCAAAAATGAAAAAATCACGTGACCACAAGAGGGAAGAGCTCAATATTGGTCATTTCAAGAAAGAAATACACCTCTCCGTCCTCTAATGCTCCATTCTTTGTTTCGTTGTCATCCGCAGTTTGTTTGTCTTTTTTCGTTTTCTCCTGCCGTGAACTGCCATTCTCTTTCTTCCTACCCTTGTCCTTGTCTTTTTCGCCTCTTCGTCGTTTCACATCAGGAGACCTACACAACACTAGTAAGACTAAAGTAAAACCCAATTAGTTTAACAAATTTAATTTGCAATATTTATAACCACACACCTAGAACGTGACCTCGATCTCTCTCTTCGTGATTTCCTATCTTTCTCACGTTCTTTATCCTTTTCGGTTTTCAGCTTTTTCGTTTCCTCTTCATGTTTTTCTTTATCTTTAGTACTTCCTGGAATGATGAAAATATTAAAATAACACGATAAGGGTGAAAATGCTGCGAAGCCCACTTCGTATCTCTGCATTTTTAACCGAACCATCCCTGTTTTCATCCTTCGATCTCTTTGAAAAATCGGAATCATGTTGGCTCCCATCACTTCTGAGCTTTTTCGAGGGAGGCGACGGAGAGCGCTCTAGATGTAAGATATTAAACCATACTAAACCAGTAAGTATGTTACAATCTGGACCAAATCAAATGGTTCAATTCTACTTAATTCTGTACGACACAGAAGGGAGAATCCTAATAACCTTCGAAAATGAAACCTGATCGAATATATGCGCGATTCCTCCCAAGGGTTAACCGCCTCATCGTGGCTACGAGGTGAACCTGGGTATTGGGCTGCGATGTACAGCGGCGCGATTCACATCGCAGGGTCTGCCAAGCTGGGAATGAGCACGGCGTTACCATCATGAAGCCTAACTAAGAGTAAACCAATACCAGGATCCACCACCGCCCTAGTATCAAAGTGGAATGGTGGTAAATCTCTCTCTGATCCACAAGGGCTGCAACTGCCCGTGGTGGTGAAGACATTGGGCAGACTTTGGCCAGGCTGACCTCGGGATTCCAGGGAACCACATTAGCTTAACCAGCAAATTTACGAAAAATGGTGATTATGCTAGGGCCCGCATAACCAGTGAGGACGGACGATCCAAGTATCCAAATAAGTACATCCATATATTCTCTTGTACAGGGAGATCTGCCAGCAATACAACTGTAGATTTACGAGCAACACAAATATTTCAACGGTATGATCCTTGCAATCCACTCATTGAGCAATCTCGGTGACAACAACTTAAATTCAAAAGTTCTGGAAAATGAAGAAACTAAAGAGAGTAAGTGTACGACCTGCGTCGTCTTGCCTTTCTCTTTTCAGATTGTTCTCTCCTAGACAACTGATGTTTTTCGACGTTTCTCCTTCCTTCGATGTATCAGTAGCTTTAGATTCACCATTGGAGTCGGGATGGCTACCAATGCTCATTCCTATCTATGGGAACAGAAACATATAAACTCATAAACGTCAAAAAAGGAAAAAAAAACGGAAAACAGCTGCACAAACGTTACTTTACAAACTCTCCTTCAACAGTTGGCAGTAGGATGTTAACACGTCTTTGATACTCTGCGAATTAGTTTCCTTCAGAAGCTTGACGTACTGCTATTTAGCCAGACC